AGAAAGAAAGAAAGAAAGAAAGAAAGAAAGAAAGAAAGAAAGAAAGAAAGAAAGATTGATTCAGAGTATCCCTATTTATAATTTTTCTTTTCTGGTCTTGTTTGGTGCTTTGTGCATCTCTTATACCTAGATGAGTGTCTCTCCCTCTCAATTTTGGAAATCTTCTATGACCTTATTAAAATCATTTTCTATGCTTTTTGCATAAAAATGTTTCCTTCTTTTGCCTATGTAGGTTATGCCCATTATGTATTTTGGAGTCCCAATGTTCATGCATGTTCTGTTCATACATTGTTTTACGCGTATCATCATTGACTTTGAATGATCCAATTCTTCTATTCCAGTGGTTCTCAACCTTCCTAATACTGTGGCCCTTTAATACAGTTTCCCATGTTGTAGTGACTCCCAACCAGAAAATTATTTCACTGCTACTTCATAACTATAATTTTGCTACTGTTATGAATCGTAATGCAAATATTTACATTTTCCAATGGTGTCAGGTGACCCCTGTGAAAAGGTCACTCGACCTCCAAAGGGGTCACCACCCACAGGTTGAGAACTGCTGCTCCATTCTGTCGTCATTACCTGATAGTCCATCTTCCACAGGATTCATCCTATTGGCGAGGCTTTTCACTGAAGTTTTTATTTGATCTAGTATGTTTTTCATTTCCATCATTATTATGGTTTGAGGTTTTTAGGTAGGTCTATTTCTTTATTAAATTCTATTTTCATATCCTGAACTGACTTCCCTGTTTCATTCAGCTGTCTCTTTGTGTTATCTTTGAAACTATTGGAGTCTTCTTTGAGATATTCTTACATATGTGTAATTATTGCTTTGCATTCTGCAGCCTGAATTTTGTCTAATCCATTTTGCCTGGGGGTCATTAGTATGGGGTTGTAATTTTTGGAGGAGATAAGCTGTCTTGGGTTTTCATGTTACTTGGGGTTTTGTACTGGGATCAGCCTTTTGAGGATTAAGATGCATTGTTTTATTTTTGTTTTTTCTTTCTTCTGGTTGCCTCTCTTCTTTCGATGAGTATGTTTGTAGTGCTCAGGAGAGACTAGGTTGCAGCAGGTGTGGTAATGTTTTCATCTGTTAGACTAGTGTTCCAGGCACCAGGCTCTATCTCCAGTCAGAGAGCTGACTACTGTCTGAAGCGCCAGTTCAAGCACTCTGATAAAATAGTAGAAAGTGTCTATGAAACAGACACTTACATGCTGACTACTTTAGGGAATAAAGGAACCCCAATGCTGCTGTGTATGCATATTCATATGTTAATATGAGCAGAATAGAAAAGAAAACAATCCCATTGAGTCTAGTGGTGAGTGTTATCTTCTTACATTGGAAGTAGGGGTGGGAATGATTGAGGCAAAGGAGAAATGAAGTTAATATATTGGAGTTTTGATTCATGATAGATTAAAAAGAAGAAGTAAAGATACATATCCCAATGCCATAAACGAGGTCAGCCTTTAGGCTTTAGGAGATGGAATACTAAGGAGTGCATATGGGGAAAGAGGAAGGAAGAAACAAAGGAAAGCAAAAGAGGGAGTAAAACAGCAAAAGGTGTGAACAGCAGGGGACACTGTTGGCCTGCTATAATGCCCTACTGTGCATCAGACGGAAGAAAGCTGCGGAAGAAGGCGGTGCCGTGGGTGGATATATACAAAAACAAGATTGCTGTCCTGAATGTCGTTTTATTTTGTTTGGGCTTTTTATTTTCTCTTTGTTAGAGCCACTTGGTTTTCTCTCTTGTCCTGGTCCCGGCTCTAGTCACACTCAATGTTGCTTTTTACCAGTCCAGTTCTTCCCATGTGAGTTCCTGGGTTGTCTTGTGTATAGTTTTCTTGAGTCCGTTCTGTGGGCTGTGGGTAGCTAAGGCAAACTCCATCTAGCCACACTTGCTGTGTTCACACAAAGTCAGGAGCCGCTGCTGGCTCTGTGGTGCTCAAAGCACTGTTTAGAGCTTTGCCTAGCTCCCACGGCTTTACCTTTTTCCCACTGAGTTACTTACTGGTGGTAGCCCTGGCAGCACTCACTGGGAAACCCTTCTATGAAATCCCTACCAATACAACTTTGTATTCTTTTAACCTATTTTACATGAAGTAAAATGGCCATATTGTGGCGGTGCCTGCATTGGTTGCAATAGCAGCAGGTTCAAGCCACTAGTAGAGATGTTCTATGGATTTGATGGTATCTGAGGTTTATTGGGGGTATTGATCAAGTAGTCTCTAGGACTGGAGAAGAAGCTGATTGGATGTTAACGTATTTAGGTTCCTTTTAATTCCTTAACTGTAATAAGCTAGTCATGACGCAGCATGGCCTCTGATCCACCATTTTACTCAGAAGTCCTGCTTATTGACTTTCTCATTTCCAGTGTGATTTCAGTTTAACTTTCTTCAGTAATTTTATGTCTTTATTGAATTCTCTTTTTGTATTGACTTTTTTATCTCTTTTGTTCTCTTAGAGACTATTCTTGTCTTTTTTGAGTTGTTTGGACAGACTTATAATCATTCTAATTCTTTCTCTGAAACTCTCCCCAGTCCTTTTCATCGGGATTCATTATTATGAGATCAGTCATTTTTTTGTGGAGATACATCTTCTTGGATTGGCATGTCAATTTTGTTTGTTTGCTTCTGCCCTGGGACTTGCACATCTGAAGTTATAATGTCCAGTGAGTGGAAACGGGAGCTGGGGGCTGATGTTCTAGAGGCTGCTGACATTTCAGGTCCAGGAGCTAAGGCATCTGCAGAAGTGTGAGCGGGGTCCCTTCGGACTCCTTATCTCTAGGCATCAGGAACTAATGGGTGACAGAAGTCAGGGTCCTAGGTTCCATCAGCCCCAGAAGTTAGGGGACTAGTGGAAGTTTGAGCCAAGGGTTCCGGGTCCAGGGACTGATGCCTTACCTGCGTGCTGTCTTATAACTCATGTAACACATCCGCCTCCTAAACATTTGGCTCATTCAGTTTCCCTAGTACTCTTGGCCCCTCCACTATACTCTCATCTGAGGAGCACTAATCACACACATGAAAGACTTGGGTCATTGCATTTATACTTTATCAGGTAGTTCTTGGACCAGCGCTGATTGACCCACAGTGAAAACGTTAGCCAAGCAAAATCTCTGTTTCTGGTAATTTACAATCATCACTTAGAAATGCTGGCAAATCTATCTCAAGTACATCCCTTGGGAAGTGGGGTGAAACTGGACCTAGGTGGGACAGGAACATACTTCATCATATATGTACAGGGAAAAATAAAACACAGAAAGAAGGATGGGAAATTAGAAAGTGGAGAGAGAAGGCAGGATATGTTGTGAAAGAGAGATGGAACAGGGAGGACGATATATGATGATGCTGTTATAGGAGATAAGGGCTCTAGTCTCACAGGTTCTAACACATATGTTGTCTGCCTCATTTTTCCAGATTCCTGTACTCAGCAGTGGAAGAGTTTGCGGGTGATATTGTAAAGGCCTGGCACCAAATAAAACAGAACAGCACAGCAGTGGAGTCTGTGATTTTGAAAGTAAGTGTCCTGTCCTACTGTTTCATCCCTTTGTGAGCCAGGACTCACTTTTCCAATAAAATAAAATGTGCCTCTTACTGGAGAATCATAAAGTAGTGGCAAAGTTAAGTAGCTGCTTCATCTTCTGATGAAGAAGGGCCAATTTCACCACTTTCATCTTTGCCAAATGAAGACTGGTACTTCGATGCGTATCCATATCCATGTACCTAGTTATATGCCAAGAATCTGCCCATAAATAGACAGTAGTGTACTTTAAGCATCAGTGAATGGAGTTATGCACCAAAGCATACATAAAGACATATGCATATAAATTCACAAATGGTGGAGCTATTATTCAGTAGAATGTTTCATACTTCATATGTGTGTATGTGTGTGTGCACGCACGCACACGCACACACACACACAGCCACATAATTTAGTCCCAGCATTGCAAACATATTTATACAATAGAAATATGCCAGGTTGCAGAGGGTGGGGCATGGCTCAACAGTTAAAGTGCTTCCTATATAAATTTGAAGACTGAAGTTTGGAAACCCAGAAACCCACTTAATTTCTGGGTGAGCACTGTTAATTCCAGCTCTGGAAAGTGGAGACAGGGGATTCCAAGAACAGTCTAGCTAGAGACGACTCATATTAGGGGGCTGGGAGTTTGATTCAGAGTCCTGGCTCAGTGAATTGGGTCGAAGAGTGATTGAGGCTAATCCTGACATTAACCTCTGGTCTCCACCCATACACACACACACACACACACACACACACACACACACACACACGTGCACCCAGATATGTGCAAAACATACACAAACAGGCACACCACGTACACATTAAAAATGAAAAATAAAGAGACCCACACTCACCTCTGTAACAATATTTAACAATTATATGACACACACTTTGTGTCAGAGCTTCTTCTAAGTGCTTTTAACATATCAATTTATATAATTCTCACAGCTGACCTCAGATGTAGAGGGATAGAGAGTTTAAGTATGTTGTCTCACATCACAAACATCAGAATTTTCAACCTGTGGGCCATGACCTCTCTGGGGCTTGAGTGACCCTTTCACAGGGGTGACATATCAAATATCCTGCATATTATATATCTATATTACGATTCATAACTTGTAGCAAAATTACAATTGTGAAGTAGCAAGGAAAATAACATTATGGTTGAGGGTCACCACAAGATGAGGAACTATAGTTAAGGGCTGTAGCATTAAGTAGGTTGAAACCTACTGCTCTAAGTAAAGAAGAGTTTAAATAAGGTGGCAGTTGCACATCCTTGAAATACACGTCTGAAGACAGACACCAACACTATACAGAGGCACAGCAGCACCCACCAAAGCATGCTTATGAAAATACTAACAGAAAAATGTTTCCATTTCTCCCTTTTAGCCATGGGCCATACAAATTCAAGGGCCACTCATCTTCACATGAGAAAAAACTGTGAGCATGCATATACCTGAAGCTGCTCAGAAACAAATCCTATGTATTTAATCGCCTGCTACCCTTTGGGTGTCAGCATCGCCTGTCCTTCATTATCTCACATGTGGAATTCTATGCAGGGTCACCCTTCAGCCTCCCCCCTACCATCCCTACTCCTCGTTCTGTCTTTCCTAACAATACCCCATTTCCTTCTTCCCACTCTAGAGCGACTTAATGTATGATAAACTCAGTGTCGTTCTTGATCTCCTGGCTGAGGATGCAGTAGCTGCCTCCGCTGAGAGGACAGCCACGGCATATGGAGGCAGAAGTGAAGCAGATGGAAAACCGTTCGAGCCTGAACTGGACCACATAGCAAAGACCAAACTGGAGTTGGCTGAAAGGGCTCAGAAACTCCAACAATGCTTGAAGCTCATCATATTCCAGGTTGAACAAGGTAAGGTGTTTAGAGTTATTGTGACTAGGATAGCAACAAGAAAAGGTTCCTCCTATGAATGGTTTCATGACCTCCCTTAGTCTGGATTTGCTATCTTCTCACTGACAACACTTGACTGGATTCTGTGTTAGTGTTGTATTCTAAGTCATTCCTCTGACTGTTGACTTGCAAAGCTTCAGTTCAGATAAGCTATCCTTTTGACTTCTCCTTTCCTGGTCCTCAGTTCCTACACTTCTCTATTTTTGGAACTAACATGTATCCTAAACAACTACAAGTGATATAAGGAACAGGGCTGAGAGCTCTGTCAGCCTCGCTTCTAGTGTGGTGTTCGTCTTTGCATGCCTTGGACACTAGTAGTCAGGCATATGGAGCCTGAGAATGGTCTTATGGCTTGACAGTGACTTATCACCCAGAATTCTTGACAGTTCCCAAAGTTCCAGCAGAGTATGAAGTTTTAAACTTCCACAAGTTCCTCATATGCTATTTTTAATGACCTCTTTATCTACACAAGGATCCTTTGAAAACTAAATTTAAAAAATGCTACATGGTAAAGTGTATTCTACCTGAGCTATTGGAACTGAGCAGAAGTCCCATATAACGTGGAATTCTTTCCTGCTAGCCTTTGGTACCTGTCCCTGCTTTAATACATTTAGGAGAAACCTTAGCCACTTTCTGAGAATGTCCATCGCCCTTTTATACTGTGGAATTATTAAATAATCACTTTCTTTCTGTTGCTATAGTTAGTTTCCAGGAATTAATCATTTTTGTCTCTATTTCTGTAGTGACAAAGATGAAATTAAGTTGACTTGGCCATAGTTCCATCACAACCGATCCTTCATCTGTCCCCTTGACAAATGGTAAATTTAAAGGTTAGAGTTTGTAGTCAGGGGACAAAGAAAGACTTGGCAGGAAGCTAGTGAGGGACCATGTGAGCCTTGGCACAAGCTTAACACATGAGCTGTAGCACACATTGGCTGACAACAAAGATAGGAACCTCTCAAATATCCGGAAGATTGGGTGAGACATTTGAGTAACCAGGAATGGGCCAGGGAGATGGCTCAGTGGGTAATGCACGTGCAACCCGAGTCTGAGTCCTCAGAGCCCATATAAAAGCAGGATGTGGTAACAGACACATCTGTAAACTCAGTGTCCCTCTTTGGGGGAATGGGAAGAAGAGACACAAGAGAATCATTGGAAGCTTGTGGGCTAGCCTGGTGTACACAGCAAGAAACAATAAGAGATATCCTAACCCTAGCAAGGTAAAAAATGAGAACTGATTCCTGAGGTTTTTCTCTGACTTCTACATGTTTACTGTGGCATGCAAGTACCTGCACTCTCTCTCACACACACACATCATACACATACACCAAGCATACACACATATCACACATCCATGCACCCACATAGTATGTGAGTATATGAACTAACAAAATGGGGTAGAAGGGAATCAGGATCTCCACCCTGATATTCATATCACCCCTCCCAAGTGTCTGCTCATAACTATGTATGCTGTGTGGGTGACAGAAAAGAGAATAACATAGATCTTAAAAGGACTTGGAAATGATACGATAAAAATTGTGGGCATACAGCAGCATCAATAGGGAAAATTGGAGTCTCACTGTCTCCCTACATATGTGTGCTCAGAAACTGTTTGACAAATGTGACCCATCGTCTATCCTTCTGTACTTACTTTCTTCCATACCCCCTTCCCTCCCTGCACTTCTTCTCTGTAGTTCTGGATGAAGAAAGCAGACAGAGCTTATCAGTTAAGAACTTTACTTCATCCTTGTTCCTGGGAGACGGAGAAGATGACTCAGATGACTACGATCAGAGCCCAAGACACCGTAAGGATCTTTCTTCTCTTAGTTTACTCTACAGCACTGCCACCTAGTTTCCAAGGAATAAATACATTTTCACACCTCTGCCTTCCCACGTGACCCTAGTGGACATTCCTCACTCTTTTCCAGAAACTCGGCACTATTCCATGCCAATGTCCACAGCACTGACTATATTGGACACTTTGAAACTACTGGCTCGATGAAAGCCAGGACATGAATTTGTTTTCACTGACAGCCAACAAACACTCAATGAAAAGTCCCTATCCATCTAAAAGCGCCTAAGGGGGCCACTGTGGTGTGCGAACACTGAAGTTTATTTAGGAGAAAGGCGTTGCACTTGATCCTCACTATAGGGAAAGCAGGGCGGGGAGGAAGGCTTTCTGTTTGCATCAGTCTCCAAGGTGATGGTTTTTTTGTGCGTGTGTTTAGGTTCTCGTTGTGACATCTTATATTCTATACCTTCGCTGAGAAGTGAAGACCTAGATAACCTTGACTTAGAACACTTATATATTACACCTGAAATGATGTAAGTATGCAGTTCTATGACCTTTTAATGATGTTTCTGTCTCTCTTGTTGGTAGTATAGTCTTGCCATGTTCCAGAGTCAAATTCTGATTTGTTAAGTTTAGATATGAAAAGGACTTTCACTGAGCTGCACTTGACACTCATAGCTAAGTGCTATATGCATTGAAAAAACATAATAAATGTTAGCTGTCATTTCAGAGAATTTATTTTCTCAGTGTTGCTTTTAATTGTAAATGCTTGAGGATTCAAAAGAAACTAGTCACGTAAGGGACTTGATAGGAAATCCAAGGACAATTATCTCACCTGTCCTACTTCTCTGAAATATCCCAGCAGCCAAATTCTACCACACTCAGTCATTTTGAGTTCTGCTAGATCAGTTGGGTAAGACATTAGTCAGAGAAACTCCAAACTCTCATTGTGGTCATGGGAGGCAAAGGTGATGCAAGTTTAGTGACTGATTTAAATCTCCCTGTGCTTGAATCAGCCAACTCTGCCCTTTTAAGTTTCCTGAAAGAAAGGCACAACTAGCAAGTGTTTCTTGAATAATTTATTGAAGAAAGTAATTTTTACTTTTCCAACAGCTCCCCCGTCCCCACAAAGCCGTCACTTCCCCCTTCCTGTTTGAGGTCTCACAGGTCTGTCTTATGCAGTGGCACACTCTTAACAGCAGCTGTGCAAGAGGACTGTCTGATTTATTCCTAGTGTAAACCCTCCTCCTGTAGCCTATTCCAAGCAACTGAGATGTCTTTGAATGCAGAATTGGGAAGGAGCATACACAGTTTATATAGGCCAGAATTAGCTTTGGGATACTCTAGTTTTGAGACTGACAACCTAGATGAATACAAGAAATTAAAAACTATTTGTTTTGCCATCATTGTCATTGTTGTTATACCCTCTTTTACCAGAGTTTCCTCTCAAATTTGAAATATGTAAACTTTTTTTTCCAGTGTTAAAGTGTCAGACATCACTGACACTAGTAATGTAAACTAAATAACCAAAATACATTTGCAACTAAGATGCTCCAAAATTAGTTATGGGATCAGCCCATGAGTATTCCATTCTATGTGGAAAGATATGACTCATATCTGGGGCCTACAAATACAACTAAGGTTACAAATTTTGCTTCTTTGATATGAGCCATAATCCCACTAAAGTTTCCAGGCTGACTGGACATTCTCTCTCAGAACTGTCAGGTTACTTTTGGGCACAAATGAATGGACATCTATATATACCTTTCCAGAAACCATATGGCTTGTCCCAGGGGAGGAGCCCTCCCTCAGTTATTTTTCATTATGTGGATGCTATCTGATGCCTGGTGGCAGTAGTCTCTATCCCTTTCCTGCTTTAGTGACTGCCTTCTTCCCTGTCTAATTTCAGACAATTCAAAGAAAAGTGCGTCATGAACAACTATTTTGGAATTGGACTAGATGCAAAAATTTCTCTAGAGTTCAATGCCAGAAGAGAAGAACACCCAGAACAATACAAGTAAGGAGAAGAAGCTCAGCTCTCTGGATAAACACACATAATCACAGTACACATAAGTATTCCTATATCAGACAAGCAAGCGAAAGACTAAGGTCCTTGGGAAGTAAATATACATAGGTTCCTAGACAAGCCTAGAGGGGACAGTGCATCCAGAAAGCTGGGGTGCTTTATGATAATTACCCTGGCTTCATACATTCGTAATTCCATTCCATAGACTACCCTAGAGGATTTCTGCTGTTGAGAACTGAATGCATTGAACTTTATTTCTAAGAGTTTAACTGGGCCCTAATGAGGGCTCCAAATCTGCTTTGGCTTGATAGGGCTACTACAAAGTATCTAGGATGCTTCCATTTTATTTTCTGGTGTTGCAGATTGAGTCCTCTGGACCCACTGATTAGTATTGGCCCACCTGGTACCTTCTGGTAGCTTTATCCTACAGATACATCTTAAGGCAGCCTCAGAGTTCTTATAAATTGAAAATATAAGTTCAAAGGACCACCCTCCATCTGCCACTGCCACTAGCATCTCTTTCTCAAACAAGCCTGGGATGAGGGTGAACTATATTAGTTTCTCTCAGTTTATTACTGTCTTTTTGTTTTCTTATTGATATCTTTTTAAGTATAAAGTTTTTCAATTTTTTGAAAGCCTAGTTAATTTTTTATCTTTATGGACCATGTCTCTAATCTAACTCAAGGTCAGAAAATGTTCTTTTCTTCCAAAATTATACTGTTTACACCCTTACATTTAAGTCTGATGTACTTTGATTTATTTTTTCTGTGTGTATGGTGTGAGCTAATGCTCTAAATTCATCCTTTTGCATGATGATGCTGTCTCAGTCACTGTTCTATTGTTGTGAAAAGACAGTGACCAAGGCAACTCTTATAAAGAAAATTATTTAATTAGGGCTGGCTTACACTTTCAGAGTTTAAGTTCATTATCATGGCAGGAAGCATGGCAGCAGGCATGGTGCTGGAGCAGTTGCTAAGAGCTCTATATCCTGATCCACCATGAGAAAGAGAAAAACACTGGACCAGATGTGGGCTTTTGAAAACATCAAAGCCCACCCCCCAGTGACATACTTCTTCCAACAAGGCCACACCCACTCATCTTTCTAAACCTATCAAAGAGTTCTACCCCTGCTCACTAAGCATTCAAATATATGAGCCTATATGTGGCATTTGTATCCAAACCACCACAGATACCTCATTTATCTCAGTACCATATCTATTCAAAAAGTTATCATTTTCCCAATTAATTATCTTAGCATCTTTTTAAAAAGTCAGTTCACCATAAATGTAAAGGTTTGTTTATAGACCCTTCATTTCACTGATCTTTTTGTCCATCCTGTGCAAGTAACACACTACTTTAATAACTGTAGGCTTGAAGTAAGTTTAGAGGTAGGGAGATGAAAGTCTCCAACCTTGTGCTTATTTTACTTATTTATCTGTCTATTTATTTATTTATTTAGTTAGTTAGTTAGTTAATTTTACAAAATCCTTTTTTCTAGGTATATTTGTATTTCTATATAATTACGCTTCTGATTTTATAGATGATGAAGTTAAAATGCCCCAAAAGCTTTTGGTTTCAAAATACAAATAATTTTGCACTAGCCTTGTATATTTTAAAACATTTCCTATGATAGCTCATTTCCATGACCTTAAAAGTTCATAAATGATCGTCAACCCTTTTAGGAAGCATAAGCTCTCTGTTTTTATAGAAGATCCTGTAGTTAATAAGACCTTGTTATCCTTAACTCCATCTAAAGTCTCATGTTATCCCTTGCCTGTTCCATATTTTCTCTATCCCAAGCACACAAAGATTACCATGTAAGAAATTTCATATTTGTGGGATAAAGTACACTGTTTCAATACCTTTATATAATGTATGTTACTCAAAACAGCATCATTAGTATTTGTCTCTCCTTATGAGATAATGTCTAGATTCGTACTGATCTTTCCTTTTTTTGTTATTGGTAAAATATGTAATAAGCTTTCGTGAATTATCATACATATAATTTAGGTGAGCACTGTACTTCTTGTCCACGACATTTATTACTGCACCAAAAATTCACTCCTCACTCATATTTGCACCAATGACTAAAAAGCAGTTTAATTTTCAAGTTCTGGTCAGAAATGAGAAATAAAATTCCTTCCCATCTTTGCATAATTTCTTTTAGTTTTTTTAAAAATATAATTTGTTCAGTTATTTACACCTTCAGAAAATTATGAGAAACAAATCATAATTCTTTTATTTCCCTTACACATGTTTTTAAAAAGTATTTCTGTCAATTCCCACATATCCAAGAAATATGATTAATTTAAATATGATAATATATTAAAGTATCAATTTTCTTTTTTTAGTGTGAATGAATTATTGCCTATAAATCTATGTTTTCATCCAGGCTGCAGTCTTAAGCTAGTTAAATAAAATGGATATTGATTTATCAGACTATCAAATATCATCATTCAAAATAGAAGTTATTTATTTTTAATAAGCTACTGCGTCCAAATAGTCTTGCCCACATGTACATTAGAGCATAGCCAACCTACTAAGGAGGATAAGAAAATTGAAATGTATCCCAGAAGAAATGATTGGGTAAGGGGATAAGAAATGAATATAACTGAAACACGTTATATGTATGTATGAGCTTCTCAAGGAATAAATTTAAAGTATTATACTGAAAAAAAAAACTAGGCACTTGAGAAAGAAGATATTTTCCTTTTCCTGTCTTTCCCTATCCACTCACCTCTATGTCACTCACCTTCTGACTATCGTTTTCTACTCTTCTCTCTCTGTAGTAGCCTGCTTAAGAACAAAATATGGTACGGTCTTCTGGGAAGTAAGGAACTGCTGCAGCGCTCTTACAGGAAACTGGAAGAGCGAGTACACCTCGAGGTTAGTAGAAAAGGGCATGGAGAAAGGAAATCTTGAAACATCGGAAATCACCTTTCCACTGTATCTTTGCTTCTTCTAAACTTTAACTCTGGGGAGCCTAACTCACGGCCATGGGAATAAGGCACAAGGTTTGATTTGTATCCCACACATAAGGAAATGATAATATGCAGAGAAGACCAAGCCTTTCCCCATCTCTGTATCTGAAAAGCCAAGCTAAGAGCTACTCTTTTTTTTTTCTCAGTGTGATGGAGTAGCTGTCTCCTTGCCAAACCTTCAAGGCATCGTAGTGCTCAACATTACCAGCTATGCTGGAGGTGTCAATTTCTGGGGAAGGAACAGACCAACTAGAGTGAGTATGGAATGAGGAATGGGGTGGGCAAACGGAGGGGTTCTGCTCAATTGTCTCAGAAAGGAAAGACCAGGGCAGACTGGAATGGGAAGTAGACACTAGGGAAGATGAGATAGGCTCGGGACCCTTGTTAACAGGCTGTGTAGGGTCAGCTTTTTAAAACAGGTGCCATCCCAGGGCACAAGAACTCTAGAATTATGTCAAGGGATACCTGGGTTTTGACTTTCCCATTACTAAGGCCTGAAAACTACTCAGAAGATTACCTAGGAGGCTATGTTCTTTAGCCCAAGATAGTATTTCAATAAAAACATCTCAGAAAGGAGCTCTGTGGTCTGAGATCATATAAGTCTATGAAACCAATAGAACTGATCTTGCGGATTCCTGATGCTGCATTGAACACGGAAGAAATTGGAATGAGTTTTGATCTCTAAAGGAGCTCAAATGTGTTGCAAGCATAATTCCCTCCTCCAATCTTGGCTTCCTTACCTTCATTTTCCCTCTCAGTATAATTTTCTCACTTATTCATGTGCTAGAAAAAAAAATGTTGCCAGTAGCCCTGAGAGCACATTTACTTATTATAGGCAAAGTATGGATTCTTGGGAGAATTGTGACATGGTTCTTCCTTCCTAGGAATATGAGGCCCCTGCATTCGATGATGGGAAGTTAGAGGTTGTGGCAATCTTTGGTTCTGTGCAGATGGCAATGTCCCGTATGATCAACATGCATCGTCATCGAATTGCCCAGGTAGGCAAGGGTTGGGTGGATACAAATATGGGGTAAATTTCCCTGCTACAACCCAAGGATGTGAGGTAATACTAGCAATTGCCTGCTTGTAAGAGTTCCTGGGTAGAGGAAGTAGGCGTTCTGTTAGGCAGTAAGGTAGTGACTGCTGTTGAATGTAGAGGTGGCAGGGACCAAAGAAGCAAAAAGCTCATAGGTAATATGTACTCCTCCCTGGGATGATCTGATTCATATCTTTTGCCAGTGACTCTTCAAATACACATTCAACTGTGACCCAATACCAGATTAGTCCACACTCATCTCCCAATTTGTCTCCCTTTTTGTTTTCTCTTCTCCTCTGATAGTGCCATGAGGTGGTAATAACTATTGATGGTGAAGATGGTATCCCAGTGCAGGTGGATGGGGAAGCCTGGATTCAGAAACCAGGCCTTATCAAGATCAAATACAAGAATGCTGCTCAGATGTTGATGAGAGATCGGGTAAGAGAAAAGTTCTATGCGAGTTACTATGTCGTCTCATTCATAGCTACCACATTTCTAGTCGAGAAGAATTCCCCAAAGGGAGCTCTGCGTGTCCCTTGCATCAGGCACCTTGAATGATAGAAGTGCATTCTCCTAGGTACCATACCAAATTTAATGAACTGAATAGAAAGAGGTGACTCCTAAAAGCTCAAGACACTGCCCAAAAAGTACTGTCTTCTTTTCAGCAATGTCCTCCACCCTATACGGCATAGAGAATTAAAACCCTTCAGTGGTGAAGAAATATACTCTTTTAATAACAGTGCCTGTATTGAATATGTTTTCTTTGGGGCACCTATAAGATTCCTTAAAATATTACATTTACAGATGTCATAAGCTTCTGCTAAATAAAAAGGTACAATAATGGGACAGATGTCACATTATTGATCATCTGTTTGGTGCTTGGAGGCCATCGTTTTGAATTGTGAACATAAACAATACCAAGCGGGAGGGAGGAAGAGGCATTTATTTCCACATTGAGAACTTAAATAACTTTAAACTAGCAAATGAAAAGCAGGACTGAAAAATAAATTTCCCATGTCTGACTCTAAATCTCATCACAATTATATATGTATGTGTGCGTGTATGTGTGTGTATATGTATATGAATATACAATTTTATATATATATATGAATGGGGCATAAAAAGGTGTTCCAGTGTCTTATCAGTCACCATGTGATCTTCTAGATGGTAGATATTTTGTCTAATTTAAGACCTGTGTTCCATGAGCCAGTGTACTGACAATGAAAACTGAACTACCTTATGCAGAAGATACACTGATGAAAAAGCTATATAAATAGGGGCATGGGGTAATGAAGAGAAAAGTATTCAATCCCCTTCATCACCTATACCCCATATTACGTACAAAATGCCATGCTTATATAGAAATCTGTCACGTGTCTTCAGAGCTACAACAGTCATTACAACCTGCCACTATATTCACTTCTAGGACTTTGAGAACTCAATGAAAACGTGGGAATCAAAGCATACTGAGATCCAAGCTGTCCAACCACCTCATCTGGATTTGCAGGAATCTCAAGACAGCCTGTCTGATAGAGAGTATGCCCAGATGCAGCACTTGGCTCGGCTTGCAGAAAACCTCATTAGCAGGTAAGAGGGATGAACTTAAGACAGGGCTGGAAAACAAAAATGGGGATAGGGAGAGACACTTAGTTGATTTCTATTGACTACTGGGGAGCTTGCCTCAGAAAAGAATCTCACTAAGTGCTGAAAAGAAGGGCCCCGACAATCCATGTAAGACATATTCTTTGTGATGAGCAATAAGCCATCTTTCATTCTCCTCATTAGAACTAGAGGTGGATTTTTATTTCCTTTGCTTGTCAAGACCCAGTAAGAATAAGAATAATGTTTATTCTAGGACAGCAAAATGGTTCATGGAGTGAAGGTACTTGTCATTAAACCTGACCATCTGAGTTTGAGCCTTAGATCCTCACATGGTAGATTGAGAGAATCAACTCCTGAAACGTGCCCTACACACCCACCCACCCCCACACACAAACACATACACACTGACATGTATGCACACATACACACAAATAACTAAATAAGTAAATATTTTAAAAAGATGTTTATGCTCGCCCTTAACTCTCAGAAAGCCCTTGAAGTTCGAGCAGGAGCTAGCTCTGCTCCTCTATTTTTGTTTCTCATCCAATTCAAGTTCCCAGTATCCAAATCCAAGCTAAACTAAGAAGAACAAATGTAAGCACTTAGAGAAGAATAAGAACATTTGCCAGCATCCCCGGATGCCTAGTGAAGAACAGAAATAGCAAGAGGGAAAGGGGAGTTCAAATCTAGCACTGAGGATCTTCATTTTGATCCATGCTCCAAACCACCAGCTCCTCACACCTTAAATCCATAGCAATGGACTCACCTATCTGTCTTTGCTTTATTACAGACTTACTGACCTAAGCAAGGTCTACCAGCACGTGTCTGTCCTCATGGATTCTGTGACTGCCAGTGCTAGCATACTGAATGAAGTGTTCTACAGTCAAGACAGTGCCAATGAGGAAGGTGCAGCATCCTGTATTCCCATTGAGGTAAGGGGAGAAAAGAAGCAAATGAAATAAAAGTGCCACACTTTATAGTAAAAGGGGGTCGGAAAGAAAGTGAAACAAAACTTAAATGAGGAAACTTGAGGGGTAGAGTAGACATGGGGTTCAGGCCATGGGTTAGTCGGGGAAGTGCTTCTCATGCGAGCATGAGTGACAGAGTTCATATCGTAAGGACCCTCATTAACAGTCAGGCATGGCAGCATGCATCTTAATCCCAGCACTGGAAGGCAGAGAGAGAAGGATCTCAGAGGCTTTCTAGCTAGTCAGTCTAGCCAAATCAGTGAGTTCCAGGTCCAGACCAACCCCTGTCTCAAAACTATAAGGTGAACTGCAATTGAGAAGGACACCTCATAGCTATCTCTGGCTTCTACAAGAACACACACACACACTCATGCATCCTTGCACACATGCATATATTTTATACACACACAACCACACAAAAATTGAAAAGTAAAGTAATAGAGTAGATAGGAATATAGGCATTCCTTAGATGATTACAAGGCTGAGAGGGCTGCTGGGGAATGCCATGCCGTATTTCATCATCCTGAGAAGCAGGGTTTGTTTCCAGTAGCTAGCCACCACATCAGCCTCAGGGGGAAGTAGTTAATAAATGGGAAGAAACATGGCCTTGAACTTTTCCCATTCCAGTCTGTGCCCTGTATAACCGTATAAAGTTATACTTGTCATTGGAACCAGAGATCCAAGATGCTTTTATTTCCCTCTTGACAGCTCCAGATCAGACTTTTAATATTGGATGTGTCATCCCCTGCCAGTACTCACTGCCAGAAGATTTGAGTGTTGCTTTTAAAATGTCATTTAGATTTGGGGATGTAGCTTAGTGACAGAGAACTTACCTATCCTGCCTGAGGCCTTGGATATGATCCCTGATATACATAAACATATACATGCACATAAGCATGCACACGTGCACTAATGCATATACACACAGGAGAAGGAAAGGGAAGGGACAGAGCAGAAGGAAGGAGAGATGGAGATGAAGTGAAAAGAGGGAGAGGAGGGGGAGAAGGAGAGGAGAGGGAAGTTCACTATTAGATAAAAATACAACAGGGTCAGGATATGTTGAAATGTGAATTAACTTTATCTTAGGCCAGATCCTAATTGAAAGAGGTCCAAAAGCCATGAGTTTCAAGAAGAGATATGGTTAGACCTATGTCTACCTACTGTGGGAAAGGTAGTTTTACCCTAGGGACAAGTCTCCTGAGATTTATTTACCCTTTAGTTGGCAAATGTCCTATTTTCCTGTTACCCGCTATATCCAATCAATGATGCCAAAAATGCTAAGCTGTATTGTGCCACTTTTGCAGGGCACACCAATAGAGATGTATCAGTTGACAGTTGGTGTCAATTCCTATTGGTTGATGCTCATGTTGTGCCAGCTGTGTTATATTTTTAATATTAGTTTTGCACCTACAGCCATATCCTAATAGTCTGATCCTACCTTCCCATGGAGAAGCCAGCGCTTACTAACCAGCTCCTCTGTCTTGTCCTTTCCCATCTGTTCTTTTCCTCTCTTCTCCTCTCAGACTCTAAGCAGAACTGATGCAGTGGATGTTACATTTATTCTTAAAGGACTTTACGATGACACCAAAGCTTTCCTGGATGAAAACTTGGTGAGTGCAGGGGGTTGGAGTATAGAAGGGAAAACATCTCTTTTGCATATGGTCACAGCTTGTATTTGGTTCCAGGGTATTAGAGACATGTAATCATTGTAAGTAGGGGCTTGCTTCATGATTCCTGCTGTCATCCAGTATTTGTCACATGAATATGCTACTGTATGTGTTATGCTAATCCACAGGGACTACCATATTTTGGATGAAAGTCTTTCTCTGTTTGGTCAGTGTCTCCTGGGTCAAGACTAGGCCAACCAGATGCAAGGTGTCCTCATTATACCTGATAGAGCTACAAGTGAAAAGAGAGAGCTCTTCAGAGATGCCCTTATCCCAAGTTTCTGAATGTCACTTTTACCGTGAAGGAAATAACAGGAAATAGGAGGAAGTTTGGAGGACTCTGAGCTCAAATCCAAATTAGCTACCTAATATCCAGATTAACTTCCTAAGGCTGCCATGACTAAGTACCAAGTATTATATGACTTTAAATAACAGAATATTGTTATTTTATCATTCTGGAAACTTCAGCATTCAAACTCAAAATGCTAGTAGGCTCATGGTCTCTGTAAAATACCTAGGGGAAACTTTCTTTGCCTTTTGGTAGCTTCGGGTCATTCCGTGGCCACTTTTGAAAATCCCTGTCATAAAATGAAACACTCTAAACTTGGTTTCCATCTCTAGTGAGTGTCTCTGTCTTCATATAGTCATATTCAGCCAGGATCATTGATAGCAATGGAGTAAGGCCTGCCCTGTCTCTTATGACCTCAGATTAACAGTGAATTACAAATGCAATGACTATAAATCACATAAGGGCACATTCTGAAGTACTGGGGACTTTAAACACATATTTGAGGGGAGTATAACACAACCCACAGCACTGACTGTGTAACTGCACCTCTTTGCTTTTAGTTCCCCTATCTTCAAGAGAGGAATTGCAATCCATACTATAGTTTGTTTGGAGGGCCTACACAAATAACAAACTATTGTACCTTAAGTGCCTGACAGTACCTGGTACATAGTTATAGCTCAAAAGATGAGCTTTAAACGTGCTAGGGTGGATAGAGTATGAATCTGAGGATTACATTAGTTACATGTTTCTTATAAGGTGATGTCCATGCATGGGCACAAGGTGGCTATCCTCTGAGAAGACAACTGATCCTAATTATCCAACTTTGATGTTGTCCTTGAAGAAGGTGTTGTGCTCTTGCTTATGATCCAATTAAAGTTGAACTTGAAGAAGGGCTTCTGGGTCGAAACTATAAACGTCCACTGCCTCTGTCATTTGCTTATCTGACTGTCACACTGCCTCAGAAGCAGAATGGCTAAAACACTCAGACTGCATCACTTCATTATCTGAGTCCAATGCCCAGGGTGTTTTCGCTTTGGACAATTTCAATTGGAATTCTGAAAACTCAGTGACATTCTCAGCTCAACCACTGGTAAATATGGGAGGTTGGCCTCTTGTTGCTACTTAGGTTTTCTTGAAGCTCATAGCTTGGAAATTGAGCCATGCTAGGCAACAGCCCAACTTGAACATACGCTACCATAAAGTGGGGCCTTCAGAATCCTTCCTTTTTATAGGACTTGTGAGGTCTCACATATGTGTACACATCAAAATGAGGCTAGAAGGCTCAAAGTGCATCAGAATACCATGTATCTCCAGAAAGGCTGTTATAGAGATAAGACAGGTACAAATCATGTTTCCTTTGTGGATTATTCCTCCTCTTGAGGAAGTATAGCAGTAAAAAGAGTAGTTTGGACAAGGGATGGTATTAGCTTTCTATTATTATAATGAACACCCAAGAAAATCAACTTACAAGGAGAAAGCTTTGTTTTGGCTCAGTTTTGGAGAGTTTGCTCCTTTGCTTTCAGCATATGGCAAGTCAACAGCATCATGGTGAAGACCATGTGATAGACTAAAGTTGCTTACCTCATGGCTGGAAATGAAAAAGAGGGTGATTAAGAACCCACAAGCCGGCCGGGCAGTGGTGGCGCACGCCTTTAATCCCAGCACTTGGGAGGCAGAGGCAGGAGGATTTCTGAGTTCGAGGCCAGCCTGGTCTACAGAGTGAGTTCCAGGACAGCCCAGGCTACACAGAGAAACCCTGTCTCGAAAAACCAAAAAAAAAAAAAAAAAAAAAAGAACCCACAAGCCTTCTCAAAGACAATGGCCCTAATGACCAGGATACTTCTGACTAGGCTATACCTCTTAAATGTTCCACTACCTCCCAATAATACCAGTCTGAGAATTAAGCCTATAATGCATGGCTCTTTAAGGTAAACTGTAGTAGAAATGTAGCTTTTTAGAAAAAGATGAAGTGAATTCCATTCAATAATTCCCATTTCCCTTATTTGATATAGATTTGGCATGAGCATCTAACCATGCTAAATAGTCTTAAGTTGTAAAGCAGGACAAATTACTTGTCGGTATTGATTTGTTTCTTTCGTATATGATGTTTTAACTGGCCATAACCTCCCTGCCCATTACTTGCCCATTCAATTGCCACACAGTTCAGGCACCAGCTATTGCTACAGCAGCAATTGCCCTATAAATAGAAAGAGGCCACAGAAATGTTGAACTGAAAGCAGAATGCATGGTAGGAAGGAGAGGTGAGTCCAGGTTAGATGTCTGTGTGCTTTCAGGGGCTGCATACATCGGTATGCTTCCATGTGCCCGAGTTATTACCTTTTAGAATATAAATGGTCTCCCCCACACTGCTGACATGGAACTTAGAGATGGTTTCAAAGGAATATATTGTAAGTTTCCCGTGTGCCACACAGAGTTTATTTCGTGTGTTCTGGGAGCTTAGTAGTAATCACTTAAATTTGGTTTTCTAAACATATGGGATAAGCCACCTGAAATATGTTTTTATTCATGAACAACAAAGAACTAGGAGCTACAGTATAGTCTAGAGAGACAGACCCTCTGCCAGGAAGGGAAAGTTGAAATAGCCTTTCCCTAACCTTGTCGCCTTTGTTTAACAAAGTATCTTTTAAATTATAATGTATAGTGAAATAACTATTTCTTTTATCATCTGGATACTTTATTATATACCCTTTTGGAATAGTATGAAAGGTCAACTATTAAGTTAGAGTAGTTCTGGCTAAGTATGTCACCTTTATGATCTCTTAGCCACTAACATGGACTCAGAGTAGAGTCTAAGGCAGACCTCTAGGAAATGTACACTCACTTCTCTCCCTGTCTGTGCCAGTTAAGAGATGCTGGGGATCGGGACATGCTCCAAAGTGCCTTGGATGCCATGAGTATAGAGTTGACAAGGGTACTGGAAATTGGCTGGTTAAGTCAACTATTCTTTCCAGAGGTGAGTAAACTGGGGAAATGGGAAGTTTCCCTTGGTATAAGATCTCACAGTAAGTGGTCAGTACGTGGGATGGGTTTAACAGAAGCCCAATACAACCTTTAACGTCAGTATTAATGAAGCATCCTCCTCCTGAATATCCTTATCACAAATGAACAGAGCAAAGTAGCAACCATGAACAAGTAGGTAGCCACAGAAAAATAACCAGACAGAAGACCCATTCTAAAGCAAGAAACAATAAAGAAGATCATTTTGTTCGCCAGGCTACAAACTCTGTCTGCTCGGTGGCTTCTGCTAGTACTAAAAGTTATCTGGTACATGCTACTGTAGCCATACCAGTTGTTTGCAGAGAAATGTTACAAATGGTTGATACCTAGGCCATATTGGTAGTTAAATCTCCCAAATACATCACTTCCTGCTGCTACCTCCTCCCCTATTCCCTTTCCCAGCCAATATTGGTATAAAAGGAAAATCAAACATTGCAACAGATATAATATAGTTACAGAGATGCTGTCATTTTTTAAAACTACTTGGAGTACTTTTCTAAGATTGAAAACTTTCATATTCATTTCATAAATCAAATATCTCAAAGATGGCCACCTATAACAAGGTAAAGTATTCCCTTTATGATCTGACAGAAATTGTCTCAAAAAATTTCTACTATAAAAGCATTCATTTCAAATTTTAGAGTCCTTCCCTGCCTCCTCATAGCTATATTCTGACTCCAAAGGCCAGTTTGTATATCCATAAGTCATATAGAAATGTTTACAATAATGCAGCAATAGTAAGAAGAAATCCTATGCAAATTCAGGTTTTAAAACAAAGCTTCTAACCCCCAAAGACCATTGGAAAACACAAATATTTACATTATGATTCACAACAGAAGCAACATCAACGTTATAAAGTAACCATGAAAATAATTTTATGGTTGGAGGTCACCACAACATGAAGACTTGTATTAAAGAGTCTCAACATTAGGAAGGTTGAGAACCACTGTCTTAAAAGGTTTACCAATTTTCATGTATGTCTTTGGTGATGACATTGCAAGGTCTTGTATACCTCCTGTTTTCATCAGTAGCCCTCTAGGGAAGGAAGACATGCTGTTAGACAAGAAGTGAAGCAAATTTCCACTCTCTGTTCTATTACTACCTTGCTCAGCTAGCCCCCAGTAAGCTCCTTACCAAAGCAAACTAGCTGAATATTGAGAGAAATGAGTCAAATTCAGCCTCTACCCCGGGGTCCCAATTTATATGCGAGTCTTCCATATCTGGGACAAAAATCTATTTTCTGAGCTCCAGTATTTTCATAGACTTAAATCCCTGAAGAAAGAAAGTAGATTGAAAATAAGCCAAGGAAACATAGATGCTCAATACCCTTACCTTGACATTACAGAAGATTCAGACCCAGTTTTCTGGAGGAAAGCAGGACAAGAGTCAATTATTTATTGAGCTTTTCAGAGCTATAACTGAGTAAGGGTAAGGTGCTGTGTTCTTTCTTGAAGTTGTTTATAGAAAGCTGTTCTGAAGGTTGGGATATTCAGCCTGGAGCGGCATGGAGAAGACAGGGTCCAATGGGAGTCAGGGCAGAAAGAGTGGGGTGACAGATTTGTACTCTTCTGATGGGACCGAGGCTATAACTAAACCTGAAAGGTAGATCATCCCAAAACTTTTTGTAATGTATCCGGCTAGATTTCCTGGTGATAAATCAACCTCAGAATCATTTTGCTAGGAACAGAAGTAAAATAAGACTGCTCTTACAGAAACAAGATGTGAGCTGGAGACTTGAATTACAGAGCCTGTGTTGCCTGCACAGCAAAGAACTTACATTGAAAATTAAGACATTTGTTTAAAGAATCCCCTGCTATGGGAAAACAGTCTGTGAGGCAGTCTTCCCTGTATGAGAGTACTTGGCTGAGGGGGTTAAAAGGGAGCTCTCAGTTGTAGGTGTGAAAGGTGGAATATATTTTTTAGCATTTATAAAGTGTGCCATATGAACAGCAATGACCCCAACAATCCACCTGACCTCATGTGAAATGTGTACCCTCTAAGACTTTGCTCTTTTGGGTTTTTTCAAAGAAACTTTATTTTTAAAATGTATAGCTTTGTTTGTTTCTACGTTACCCTTCCATCCCCCTGCTTGCAGAGCCTCCCCCTAATTCTGAGCCTTTGCTTCATTTCTAATTCAGGAATGATAATAGCCATGTTTCTAGGATGCTTGAGAATCAGGCAGTGCTCTCGTGGCTGGGTGGACCCACTGGTTGGAACTCACCCCTCATGGCAACTGTATAGGCTCCTGTACTTTTGCCTTGATCCCAGCCTGCATGTCTCCATGGAGTGCTTGCCTGCATTCTCGCTGGATTTTTTAACTAAATGTTTTTCTACTGTACTACACTATAGATTATATATGTATTTTAATGTTTTGATGTTTTGAGCATTTACTGATATATCTATCTAGCAAGGTACATATAGAATGAGCTCTTGCTAAAGCTCAATTTCTTTATTAAGGTATGTGACTAGTGAGTAGGGGTAACTCTCCTACCCGAACTGGGAGTAGACATACCTGCTTTCTTTAACCATCTTTGTCAATCACTTTAAAGAGCCTATAGGGATTATTTCAGAATGTCGACTGACACTTTGACCTTACTCTTGCTGTTGTTTCCCAGGAACAAGCTTCCGACACTCATAGTTTAAGTCGCAGGTTTAGAATTAAATTCCCCAAGTTGGGGAAGAAGAAACAAGAAGAAGAAGGAGGAAAACCTAAACCAAGCAAAAGATTCCCTGGTTTTCTTGGTAAGTCTCTTCCACAGTCATAAAGGTCATGAGCAATAGCTTGGATAGCTCCAAGAGACCTGGAAGTACCCTCATTAATGTTTGTGGCATGTTATAAAGGGGGAATGCAGGAGGAAGCTGGTATTGGGTAATGTCAGAGGAATTAGAGAATGGTATGGATAATGACTGGTAACAGGAGAACCTGGGAAGGAATAGTCCTATATGAGCTCTATGGCCAAAAAAACTGCAATCAGATAGTTGTTTTACTGCTTGACCCATTCCTAAGGCTTGGGAACAGGTTCATTGTTCCATTAAAATCCCTTCTCCCTGTTATAGAGTCCCTGGATACAGGGATAAAACCTGTACCATATCAATTTTCTTTTTCTACCATTCTTCCTTATAACTGGTCTGAAGTATTGTTGAAATGTGAGTAAGTATCAAAAGAAGACTACTAGAATTTGGAGTTGTCCCCATCCTGATGCCCATGGTCTCTCCTAAATTCGAGGCTTAGTCAACATAGACATTTCAAAGATAGAGTGTTAGCAGACATGTGAGCACAGCACAGTGAGAGCGGAGCAGTTGGTTTGGCTTTAACAAAATAAGATTTTACAGATGGCAAGAGAAAATCTTTTGGCTCTAATGCTATTTTTCTTGGCTATGGTCCAGCTAGTTTGACTCCTTGAGAATCTGACGTTCAGAAATCTCTAGTGTTTGAAAGTATTTTTGTAGACTTAGGCTGAGTCCCTAGTAGTTGCACAAATGATTGGCTTCCAAACATTACTCTTCCCTGCATTTAGTTTTGAACGGTCTCAGGTGACTTTCTCTATGATACAGAGATGGTCAGTACTCAGATGGTCAGTACTCTAGGATAAAACTAGTCTGTCTCCAGCCAGTCTGCACTCTCTGGGGCTTAGACATTTAAGCATCTGGCAAAGCACTAATTTCATTACTTCATTATTTCTACACTTTTTTTTTTTTTTGCTCTGAAGGCAGGTTATGGCGTCGCAGAAATCGTGACAGTCGAGCAAAAGCCGATGACCCTCCAACACCTTCAAGTTCTCACCTATAGTCCTTGAAAGCTGAAAGGCGACCTCTTAACACAGAATTCTACTGAAAACTCTCAAAACATCAATAAAGGCTGAACTCAACTATTTCAGAACAAACATGAGCACCACCAAGAAAGACCCTCCAAATCCTTATACTAATATATTTTCCCTGGACTTAATCAGATCTCCTTAGAGGGTTACATTTTTCTTGTTGGCCAAAGATTCTTGTTCCGAGTTGTCTTATTCAGTTCTCCTTCTCTTTGTGTATAGTGTGCAACTACAGTGTTTATTGGGGACAGGCTCTTTATGAATGGCCTGGGAGCTATAAGAATGTATGGGAGTATGTCTCGTTAGGAAATATTAGAATGGGCTTCTTTTGCTCGGAGAAAAACTGTTGACACCAAGGAATAAATGAGTGACCAACTCTCAGAAAGATGAGGAAGGGGCAGGGTGTTTGGGCTTGGTTGTGTTTCTCCTCCAGTCCCTGCCAACTGCAACTTGAATTTCCAAAGATGGCTCCAAGTTGGCTTAAGAAGAACAAGGTCCTGGGGCTTGTCTGTTATAATGACTATGTGAATCTTTCCTTGTAGATATAAGACTCTTCTCGTTCCTTTCTCCTCTCCTCTCTTCTCTCCTCTCTTCTCCCACCTATTCTCTTTCCCCTCCTTTTTCTTTTCCTCCTTTACCTCCTTCTGTCTAATATCCCTCCCCTTCTATTTTCTTTCTCTCTCTGCTTTTCCTCCACTTTCCTCTACTCCCTCTCTCCCCATACATTCTTTGTTTTTCCATGTGTACATATATGTTCGCACATGTCCAGGTGGTGCTCTCGTGGCTGGGTGAGCCCACTGGTTGGAACTCACCCCTCATGGCAACCATACAGGCTCCTGTACTTTTGCCTTGATCCCAGCCTGCATGTCTCCATGGAGTGCTTGCCTGCATTCTCGCTGGATTTTTTAACTAAATGTTTTGCCGCTGTGCTGCAGTATAGATTATATACAGAGACATAAAGATGTACATATATATACATATATATATATTTTTAAGAACTGAAAATACAACTCGACCTCTAAGTGACCCTCTAATTTATTGTAATAACCCAGGAATCGTTCCTCATCCCTATTACCCTACACAAACATATATATACTCTACCAACTGCCCTAGTTCTTGGTGGAGCTTCTAATCTTTTGGTGCATTCTTACTGTCTTAGAAGTAGCTGAGGTCTACTTGTAGCCCAGCTAATTCTGACATCCACTTCTGAGCCAAGCCACAGAAGGGGAACAAACCACCAATGCCCGGCACAAAGGACAAAGCTGGCATGCTGCCATTTAGCTCTGTTTCTCCTGGCTCTACATCAGCAACTGCCCAAGCTACATCACCCTCCTCTCCAATAAAAAGATGACAAAGAATTCTATCCTTCAAATGTCCAAGTCAGGGTCTACCTGATAATCAAACCACAGCCCATGCCCTTCCCCCAAAGCTTAATCTGGGCCTGCAGCTATTAGATAAGCTGTCGGGTCACTCCTCAAATTATCTTCAAATCTCATATCTGACCCCCTTCCCCCCTGAGTATAAGAGGGGTAGTCAGGGTGACCAGAAAGAACAATCTCAGTTGAGTAAGTCTAATGAAAGTCCAGTGCTCAGAAAGAATGCCTCTGGTCTGCCTCTCCTCTTCACCCTCAAGTCATACCTTTTTGAACAAGTCCCTTCCCACTTATCAAGAAAAAAAAATCCAGAAAACTGCCCTATTCTCACTACTCAGCCAAACTTAGCGTGCTTGGTTACCTTACTCAGTCTGATGGCTGGTTCACTGAGGTGCACAATCCAGACTTTGATCACTGGTTCTTAACTTTCTAGAACACCACCAGCCTAACCCACTTAAACCAGCTGCCTGTGTTCCACCTCTTCAAGGTGAGAAAAAAAGAGACTAACAATGGGGTATTCCCCAAACGTCTGATAGCTGTGCCAAACAAAAACGTCCTAGCTCTACAACTGGAGACGAAATTCAATGGGAAAAGACAACAGAAAATGTTTAAGACTCAAATATCAGAATGTAGATGTGTTGACAGTGTATATATTTTAGGGGAGTGTGCTGTTGCAGTGACTCTGGTTTTCTCTTATGCCTCTTTCTTCCCAGGAGGAGGTATCAGATCAAACCACCAAGGTCATTGTTCCTCCTTGGTTGCAGGAACGAATATCTGCTCAGACACACTCACAGAGTTGGGATCCATGTTCAATTTTTCTCAGAAGAGTCTTTTCCAAGGATCATTTATAAATAAGCAAATTTAAGGAAACAGAAGGAAATCTTAGGAAACCGTAGCCTTATCTTGGTAGTGACTAAGCAGGGCTATGTCTTGTAATTATTTTTATCACAATGATAGTCAACTGGAATAGGACCCCATCTCTGCTTATTTTGCTGAAGTACTGTAGGTCTTTGTGTACTAATAATGCTGCTGTTGCTCTGTTGTACCATCTGAATTCCCACTACTTTCCCCATCCTCCCACCTGAGTCAGAATGCTATTGAATGACACTGACAGGATGGGGACTTGAAGCAAATGTGGAGCAAAACCGATAAGTTAGGAAGCAAACTTGGCTTGTTAAAATGGTCCAGATATCACCTAAATGGCTTATTTATCAATTTTGTTCCTGAGAAAGGAAGATGACATGCTAAGAACTTGTTCACACATCTACAAAGAAGGGATCTCTTTCTCCCTCTCTCTCCCTCTCTCCCTCCTTCCTTAACTACCTATCATTCCCACTCTCTCCTCTCTCTATCTCCCCCACCTGCTCTGGCATTAACTTAGCCCCTAAGAACATGGGCTCCTTTCAAGATTTCATTGTTGACTATTTGAAGAAATACAGTTGTTCAGGTGGTGGGACTGGAAACCAAGTAGCCACCACAGAAATCATTAAGAGTCAAAACTATGGGGTTTGATTGGATCTTTGGTAGTACTGTCTGCAGAACTGATTGACTGGCTAATTCTTGGACAGAAGAAGAGTAGGGAAGGAAAAATCTGAAGAGAGTTAAGCTGCCACCGAGTGCTTCTGGCATTAATACTATAGGAGGCCACCAGTGAGCCTTTGAGGCCCTCTATAACACCAAAGAAGGGCAAGGGAAGAATAAAGAGTAACAAAAGTTGGCCAGAAGAAATGTTTGGGGGGGGGTCAAAATCATATTCCTGCAGGTCACAGTAGAATTTTAACTGTATAACAGACAGAAACTATTACCAAAGAAATCAGACCCTATTCACACCTTTCTATTGGATAAGGAACCTTGATTGGCTTTATGGTTTATGGAGTTGCTTTCGTCTGCTAATCTGTAGTACATTGTTGCTTTCTATTCTGTGTTCTGTGTTTTCTCAATGGCCCTGCAAATAAGTAGCAGGGCCAGGGTCTGGTCGGGGGAGGAGGCTGGAATAGTCATGGAATAACAGAAAAAAACAAAACAAAACAGAAGGAAAAGATCCACAAAGTGTGCCTATTCCTTTTAGCCCTCCCCACAAAATGGAACACCAGTCCTCACAGTTGTAATTGCTTCTTAAAATATTTTAATAAATGGATAAATATCATCAATATCTACATCTCCCCATTTCTTTCAACTTGGAGGGGGTGACAGTTGATTGGGGTTGGATGCCAGTTATTGAATTGGAGTCGTCCTTTAAGCTCTCAATAGGCTACCAACAGGTACCAGTGGCAGGAAAGAGTAGGCAGCAAAAATACAAACCAGGACTGGCCCTTCAGGATGATTTTAATACTACAAGTGCTGCTGAAACTGGTTGCAAAACCTAAGGACATTTCTGTGAGGAAATGCCTGTCACCCTAATTGCTCTACAAGCCACTTATCTGCAGGATACAGATACAGGTCAGTAAAATCGGTTAGTGGAGGAGTGAAGTAGGACGGAGGAGTACACTCCGGTCTACTCAAAAGGAGTAGAAGACATCTTGCAAAAACTTAAATGCAATGTGTTTTCCTAAGACAAACAGTAACTACTACTCTCCCTTACAGAAGGAACTTGAGGTTGGAAGGATTCTGTTTAGATCCAAAGTTGGTTAGCCCTACCACTGAAAATAGTTTAGGGTCATTGAGATGGTACAGGAGACAAAATTGTTTTGCTGCCAAGCCTGATTACCTGAGTTCAGTCTCTAAGGCACACGTGACTCCCAAATCTTGCCCTCTGAATACAAACACATGCTATGTCATGTACACACACGTACACACACACACACACACAAAATGTAATAAAAAAGAAAATAGTTTAATTTCTGCCACATACATACAGTCACCTTGGGAATCCAGATAGTAATTATATTTATTCCATAGGCAACTAAGGGTATAACAAGCCACGATTCAACATAAAATTCTATATGGGTAAGAATTCAATTCATAAATCCTTAACTTGCCAAATAGTAAAAACCATTTGGAGACAATAAATTGCTGACATTCAGACCATATTTCAGGCTATCCTTATAAAAACTACATTCCTGGGCTTTGGGGGAGGGCAGGTAGACAGTTCTGCTGTGGAGGAGATAACGCTTTTTTTTATGTAGCTGAATATTAAATCATTATAAGAATTAGACACCTCATCCCAATCAGAAGTGATCAACAAAACTATTGACAACAAATGTGGCAAAGATTGGGGAAGGGAACCCTAATTCACTGTTGGTGGGGTAGAAAACTAGTCACTAGTCACGGCACTTTGAAATCACTGTGGAGAATTCCCAAAAAGCTTAATATACTATAAAACTCAACTATTCCATTCTTTTGTGTATGCCCAAGGACTTGACATCATACTTCATAAATATGTTCAGCCATGTTCAAAGCTGCCCTATTTACAATAGCTAGGAAATGGAAACAGCCTAAATTTCCTTCAAGTGATGAATAGATAATGAAAATGTAGTACATAAACATATTGGAATACCATTCAGCAGTAAAAAAAAAATCACAAACTTTGCAGGTAAATAGGTAAAACTAGAATAAATTATACTGATGGAGGCAACCAAGACCCAGAAAGACAAACATTGCAT